CATCTGTGAAACTAATATCATCCAACACCCGAAGTCTGAACAGGCTGATGCCGTACTGATTTAATTGCCCCCTGCTATATAACTGATAAGAAAAGATTACAGTTGAAATATCTTACTGAATGCCAGAAATATTTGGCTTGGGATGTTTTTCTTGATTGTTTGTTTTTTCGAGTGTTTCTAAGGTGCACTTTGCAGGCAGGAAATTTCCTAGACATTCATGGGACAAGGGCACATTGTGGTTTCAAAGCCAGCTTATTTCCTAAGTTCATTCTATTGATTACGTCGATTTGAGTGAAGAGTTCCATGAGGCTTACCTTCCCAACTGGACGAGCAATCACACTAGTCAAGCTGGCTTATGTTAAACATATTAACATTGTGTTAACATTAGCATATCAGCGTTTTTTTCTGCTTTATTAGAAACATATAGCTTAACTCAGGAGCAAGTTTTTTTTTTTTGGGGGGGGGGGTTCAAGACAGGGTTTCTCTGTGGCTTTGGAGCCTGAACTGGAACTAGCTCTGTAGACCAGGCTGGTCTCGAACTCACAGAGATCCGCCTGCCTCTGCCTCCCGAGTGTTGGGATTAAAGGCGTGCGCCACCACCGCCCAGCTAGGAGCAACCTTTAAATTCCATTGAAGAATAACATGTATATGCAGGTTAGCTGCTTGGAAGCTAGAAGAATGAGGATCAAGGTTTTATGCGTGGTCTCTCGGACAGGAATGGTTGGACCCTGCCAAAGTGCTGACTTCTAGGAAGATTGTATTCTATAATAAAGAGCAGGTGTTTTCATCTCTATCCAAACAGAGTTTTCCTAGCAAAATAGACAACCTAGGTGCAAAAGTGGTACTCTGGGGATGTACACTAACTGTCTTGCAGCTGACTCAGAAGGTACCATGTTGAAAATGGTTGATGGGCCGGGCATTGGTGGTGCACGCCTTTAATCCCAGCACTCGGGAGGCAGAGGCAAGTGGATCTCTGTGCGTTCAAGACCAGCCTGGTCTACAGAGTGAGTTCTGGGACAGTCAGGACTGTTATATAGAGACCTTGTCTTGGAAAAACAACAACAACAACAACAAAGGATTGGTCGTTTTTGAAATACAAACAGACAGCAAACTTGGGCTGATTTATTAACTTTTTATTTGCTTCTTGGGGATTCCTCAGGATTATGGTTCTCTGTCACTGTCTTGAAAACCACAGTTTTACCTGTGTGTCCAGCTGTTACCTTGTTTCTGCTATGGCTATAACTCTGGTCTCTGTTGCTCCACTTCATATGGAAGAAAATGTCTAAGAGTGAGTCCTAGCCCTGTTATGTGGTCTGGGAAGAACCTTAAGCCGTGTATTCATTTCCCTCCCTTGCAGGGAAATACTGCAATGATTTGCCAGTGCAAGTGTATATGGAAAGAAGGAAATAATAGTGAATCTTTTTTCAGAAAGGACTATGGAGCTGGAAGAGGGCTCATTTACCACAGAGACTGTTATTTGTAGTGGATTGAGGAACATAGTCTCAGATATTTGAACACATGGTCCCCAGTTGGTGGCTCTGTTTCAGGAGGCTTAGGTGGTAAAGCTTGCTGGAGGAAGTTCACCACTGGAGCAGGCTACAAGATTAAAAGGCCCCCCGACTTCAGTGTGCTCTCTCTACTTCACGCTTGCATTTGAATGTGCAAGCCCCCAGTTTCCTGTTCCTATAGCCGTGCCTGCTGATTGTTTCCATGCCTTGCCATCATGATGAACTCTTAACTCTAAAACCATAAGCCAAAATAAAGTCTCTTCCTAAAACTGCCATTGGTCCTGGTGTGTGATCACAGCGACAGCGAAGAGACCAATACATCACACAAGGACAAGTGTGTGGACCCAAAGCAGCCGTGTGGAAGCTGGTGGGGTGGTGGACTTCTCTATCCCCAGCACTGGGAGGATGAGGACCCATGGAGCTCACTGGCCATCCCGGCTAGCCAAGTTGCTGATCTCCAGAATCAGTGAAAGACCCTTTCTCGAAAAACTCCAGTGGAGAAGCTACGAAAGATGTCGGACCTCCACCTGCACACGCACACACATAACAATGTGCACACACACCCACATCCACACACAAAGAACTACGTTCATGGACTCTTTTTTTTCTCCTTGGCAGAATCACGAGGCCTTTTCTCCTGCCCAAGCAGATCCAATTGCTCTGGTTTTGCCCTCTTGCCAATAGATCACCTCGTTATTCACAAGGACACCTGCTGCTGCAGGGATGACAGGTCAGTCAACAACTTGCCTCCACCAAGAACCCACAGGCCATTAAATTTATGTGAAATATCTCAGAGAGGGCACAGCAACACAGGATATGGTGCAAACAGGAGAGTCCATGTAGTTTTTCAGCAATAAGAAATATTTTTTCTCATTTATACCTCAGTTTAAGCAGATGATTTTCAATAATCTATGAAGTAAAAAGTATTCATAGACCCGAGAATGCTAACCCAAAGGGTGGTTAGCAACTGGCTCTAACTTCAACTGTAGGGTGTCTGTCACCCTCTTCTGGCTTCCAGAGACACATGCACTCATGTCGGAGGGATGGGGACATGGATAGGTATGGGGGGGGATGTCGGCGGTATAAACAGACATAAACATAATTAAAAATAAAATATTTTCAAAGTGTCCTCCATATATCATCAAACAACTTGCCTAATGTTTCATATAGAACTCTAAGCTAGAATTCAAGAATAATTTTAGCAATTTCTACATATCCCAAATGACCAGATATACAGCCAAAAGAAACTGAGTCATAGTGCAATAATTTATCCTATAGAATACATTATTCAAAGTAGCTAAGTGTTCCTTTGTTTTCTTTTGCATTCGGGCCTATGTTTGGTGGCATATAAGTTAATAATTTTCCACACTGAAATGTGACATAGTATCTGTTTTACACTAGAACAAATATACCTTCTGGAGCCTCTCACTCTACCATCAAATAATGTTAGTGAATACGTAAACATGGTATTGGTAGAAACTGTAATTAGATACTGTTATAATGTTTACTTATATGAAGATAACACTACCAACAGTAGCAATTAGAAATATCAGCTAGATCTTAGATACTGCATATTTAGTGGTTTGTGACTTGGGAGAGAAATGATTGGAAGCAAGCTATTCAACTATCTTTGAATGTAATTGCCCCCATGAACTCACAGGGAGTAGCACTATTGGGAGGTGTGGCCTGGCTGGAGTGGGTGTGGCCTTGTTGAAGGAAGTGTGTCACTGTAGGGGTGGGCTTTGAGATATCCTTTGCCCGAGCTATGCCCAGTAACACAGTTCACTTCCTGTTTGTTGCCTGTGAATCAAGATATAGAACTCTCAGCTCCTTCTCCAGTACCATATCTGCCTGTATGCTGCCATGTCCTGCCATGATGAAAATGGACTAAAAACTGGAACCGTGAGCCACTCCAATGAAATATTTTCCTTTATAAGAGTTGCTGTGGTCATGGTGTCTCTTCACAGCATTAGGAACCTGAACTAAGACACAAGCTATTGGAGTAAATCCCAGATCTGGGTCCTGGCTCTGTCCTTGTTTAACAATGTATACAACAGCAGCTGCTGTCAAAAAGTAGATACGGTAAGAGAAATCAGACTATACATTTTAAAAACTGTGGTTTGATCTTTAAAAAAAAAAAGTGAAGAGATGGACACATTACCTGGTTATCAGAGAGTGTCCTCTTAATAATGTTCACTGCTATTTTCTGATTCTTCCTGTTTTAATTTATAAAGTGGCAATATAACACATTGTCAATAACATGGTGACCTCAAAGTATGGTGAGTGGCAGACAAGATCACTCCTCGGTGCCAGCTGCTCGCCCAACTATTACTCTCCTACCATCTCCACCTTCAAACCTGGATTACAAAAGTTGAGAGAATTCTAAAGATGAATCATTCCTGGGCTGAGAATATTTTAATCTTGGGTTTTTATTCTTAGGTGAGAAGACTGTAGTTCTTTCTAATATCACTTTTTTTCTGAATTGGATGATTGCTTAATTTGTGACTCTACCAGATAAAACAGTAGATAGAAATTGAGAGTCAGCTGGAGAGAAGGTTCATGGGTTAAGAGCACTGACTGCTCATCCAGAGAAGCCAGGTTCAGTTCCCAGTATCCACATGGCAGGCCACAGCTGTCTGCAACTCCAGTTCAGGGGATCTGACTCCCTCACACAGACATACATGCAGACAAAGCATCAATGCACATAAAACAAAGATAAATCATTTTTCAAAGAGAAGTAAGAATCGACTAGACACAAGCCATTTTTGGAACAGCTGGCAGAGTAAAGTGGTTAAAAATCTATCTGAATTCAATGAACCAAAAGAAAGAAACTATTAGCATTTTCTCAGGCGTTGTTTTAACCCTTTCACTAGTCCGTGGGTTGCCACTGAGAGTTGTAATTCTCTCAAATGCTGGGATTTTTTTTTCCTGTTGTTGTTGTTGTTTGGGGGATTCGGGGTGTTATTTTTCTAGACAAAGAAACCCATGGGATGGAATCTAAAGCTTCTTATTTTGAGTGGAACAGCGGTTTAATTCCAGGCACCCTCTTAGCTTATCTGCTCATCCCTGTGTTGCTGGAACTCACAACTAGAACTGACTTATTTTGCCATGAGCATTGAGGAGAAGACCATGACCAGACACTGACATTTAACAAAAAAAAAAAAAAAAAAAAACTTAATTCGGAGGAGAAGGGCTAAACTTTGGCAGTTTTATGAGCAGTTTCGAAGGACACACTGGAGTTACAAAAGAGGCGTGTGTCTCCTGAAGTCAGGACCCAGGCCCTGGCAGAGAATTTCAGAACAATCGGAACAACCTTTTCATGTTTTTGTTTGGGAAAGGAAGACCTTGTGTGAAGTTACGTATTGTGCATTCCCAAGCGTGTTGCTTCCGAACATGGCTGCCTTTTGTGTTCTCACTAACAGGAGTGATATCGATATCGGCAAGCAAATCTGTGCTTACTTATCAGTGATGGACTGAGATTTGAGTACTTACTAGCCTGGGATTCTGCCACAAATATTCTTCTGGGTTCATACTTCAGTTTAGAAGCCACACACCAGCAGGACAGCTGAATTCCCATATCTCTTTGCCACTTCAGCACAAGCTCATCTCTAGAGCAGTGTAAAGTTCTGTAAGACCAATTAATTAAGCTTGATTCCACTGGGGGATTCTGAGAGAAGGCAGAGGGCACTAATGAGTGAGAGTAGAACCAGGACTGGGGGTGGAAAGCTGGGCAAAGAAGCATGGACCCGTCTGAACGCCGTTCTTCCCTTTCCCCAGCTTAATGTAGGTAAGCTGGTCTGAGCACAATTTGGTTCAATTTACTGCAACAGTACGTTTATATGACACAGCCACTGCTGATCTATGATCCAGTGTACAAGGTGACCCAGCTTGTAGGAAAGTTCTGAGCTCTGGGAATATGGTACATACCCATAATCCCTGCAGGAGGGCAGAGTTCTAAGTCAGCCTGAGCTGTGTAACAAGGCTGTGTCTTTAAAGTAAAATAATAAAAGTTATGAATATGCTGATATTAGTTGCTTGAAAGTCGTCCAAATAACTTTCCAAGACACAGATATGTATTCACACCAGATGAAACAAGTCATCATTTATAAGGGACCAGCAAAGGCTTAGTTTTTTATTAAATACCATTTTAGCAGGAAAAATATATATTATGAAATAAGCTTTTTAGAAGGCATAATTTTCTATTAACACATTTCCTAATTATATTGAATTGTTGGCTTAGAACTGTTTAAAAGGTAATTACTTGACAGAAGCATTAAGGAAAGAATTCTTTGAAGAGTAATACTAACAGAATTAGTTTTCTTATTTTTTTATCAGAATTTGCACTGCTTTGAACATCTCTTAGCCCACGGAACACCCAACCCTTGAGCTGTTATCACTTCTTTGAATGAAGGGAGTTTCCTTTTTCTTATAACTTCCTACTATTGAGGAATTCTCCAGCCCAAGCCTGTACGTCAGCAGGCTCTCAGGAGAGGCCTGGCACCGCACCTGTGTTTTCTCCTCGGGCCCATTTGCTGGAAATAGCAACAGAGACCTTGACTTAAGCTGTAGAGAATCAGATTAACAAGGATGATACTGTTAATCTTCATGTTCTCGTTTCCATCCCTGAAACGCAGGTTGCTAAATACATTTGCTCCCTGGCCCTCATTAGAAGTCCTGAGTGGGAGCAGAGCCGGGGAAGGCACGAAGAGCATGGAAAACAACACCAATTAAAAAACAAACAACGTCAGAATTGTTTGTTCTCACTCAAGTCATCCGTATAATTGCAGAGTGAGTAGATTTGATTTTTTTTTCCATTAAATAATTTTATTCCCTCTTATATGGTTGATGGATGGGCACACTTACAATGTGAATTGTGTAGTTTGAATCTTCCTATTGAGCTTGGAGATAAAATCATTTAAATGAAATAAAAAGCCCATGAGAATATTTTGAACTTGGTGATGTCCCAGGACTTAAGAACAGTGTGTCTGAGACTCCAAGTATTTCGTTAAATGTGATCTACTGACAAGACCTTCACTCTCTGGTATTTGAAGAACTGTATTTTCATCCCCAGAAACAAGACTAAAGGTCACAACTGTAAGCAAAGTATAAATGAAGTTATACAAAAGCACAAACACGGACGTTGATTTCCGGAAGGAGCAGATTTTTAAGCAGATGGGTTTCTAAAGTTACAGTCACTATCAGAGGCCACGTTAGTAAGGACAGAGTTGTGGGCCTGCTTTCTACTTAAAATCCTTAATTGGGGTAATGATTCATTGTGTATAAAAATATTTTAACTTTTACAACCATTTAAATTTAAAATTCTGTCAGTCGCCTTTCCTAGGTCCATTCTAAACATGTCTCCAGTTTCTGTCAGTTCACATCATACAGTGTTACACGTCACTTGTCAGACCCCACGCCTCTGACATTCCTAAGACTATACATGTTCCCTCATGGTTTCAGAGCCTCTGCCTGGAGCCATCTTCCTCCAAACATCCACATAGTTCTTTTCTGGTCAAAAGTTTCTCTGAACATCACTTTAGACCTGAAGCAACCTCTGCCCACTGCTCCCACAAACTTCTCATTCTCTGTGCTCTTCAACACCTAAGGCATTTTACTCAATTGATTTTTCTCTCCATCCACTGCACTTGGTATGAGGACATTTTTAAATTTCCTTTTCGTTTGTATGTACTCATGTGTAGTATAGGTTTATGTGTGCATGTGTGTGTGTGTGTGTGTGTGTGTGTGTGTGTGTGTAGGTCAGAGGTCAACTTTGGGTGTCTTCCTCCTTCACTCCTCCATCCTGATTTTGGAGACAGGATGTCTCAGGGAACCTGGAGCTCACCATTTCAGTTGGGCAGACTGGCCCATGAGCCCCAGTAATTCTCCTGTCCCTCCCTACCACCACACTCAGCTTTTCTGTGGGCTCTGGGGACCCAAAGTCAGGTCCTCATGCTTACACAGAAGGTACTTTCCCAAATGAGCCATCATCCTAGACCTGGGTCCTGGAACTTTGATCTTTGTTCACACCTATGTGCTCGCGCTACCTAGCGCTCAGGTGTTCACAAGTACCAATTGAATGAACGGCAGAATCTACTGCCAAATGCATGCCTGAATCAGGGCACCATGTTGTGTGCTTTCATCTTTGTTGAGGACTCACTACGCCATAACACTTACTTGATATTCCCAATTTGTAGTCGGAGGAAAGAAACTTAACAGGCACCTCATACTTGACAGTTGAAAACTGATGGAGATAGAGACAGAGACCCACACTGGAGCACTGGACTGAGCTCCCAATGTCCCAAGGAGGAGCAGAAGGAGGGAAAATATGAGCAAAGAAGTCAGGACCACGAGGGGTGCACCCACCCACGGAGACAGTGGGGCTGATCTATTGTGAGCTCACCAAGGCCAGGTGGACTACGACTGAAAAACCATGGGATAAAACCGGACTCTCTGAATATGGCGGACAATGAGGGCTGCTGAGAAGCCAAGGACAATGCCACTGGGTTTTGATCCTACTTCATGTTCTGGCTTTGTGGGAGCCTAGCCAGTTTGGATGTCCACCTTCCTAGACCAAGATGGAGCGGGGAGGACTTTGGACTTTCCACAGGGCAGGGAACCCTGACTGCCCCTCAGACTGGAGAGGGAGGGGGAGAGGAGTGGGGGGGAGGGGGAGAGGAGAGGGAGGAGGGGGGAAAAGGGAGACGGGGAGGGAAATGGGAGGCGGGGAGGAGGCGGAAATCTTTTTTTTTTTTCAATAAAAAAATTATATTAAAAAAGAAAACTGAAACACCAGGGCATTAGACAGTTAAGTAACCATGTGGAGTGTGGACACCAAGGACAGTGGGCTCAGTGACAAGTAGGAGTATGAACAGACCGTCCCGCTGTAACCGCCCCACTCTAAAGGAATTCAGTATCGACAGAAGGATTTATAGCAGCCCTCTTTAAATGAAGCCTGACTATTTTCAGCCATGGATGGTCAGTGCTCGCAAGACGACACTGTTTTCCTTACCTCTTCTCGGTATACACCCAGGCTTAAGTACATGCGTGTTTCTGAGTCAAGACCATAACACTCAACTGCTCAAATCTGATCATGTTTGTTTTCCAACTAAATGGCCTCTTCTTCTAAGAGGTAAGGTACAGCCCCTCTTGGATCTTCAGCATCAGGTAAATCTGACTTGCAACCTTTCATTAATGAAGTTAATGAAAACTAATTGCGTATACTGAATAAAAGTTTCCCATGAAGTCAATTTTTCCTTTTAACTTAAGAATTTTAATTGTTAGAATAAATTACTTACAAAGATTGCAGAAATACTTTCTCTTGAATATATATATATACATATATATTGTATTATATTATAGTATTTTAATTATATTATATTGATGGTAACATCACAGAACCAAAGAAGAAGAAAAATGATGAAATGCAAAAGTTTAAGATGTTATAGCATCTTTCTTAACCAGTGTAAAGTAGCATGTTCATGGGCAGAGTTCCACTAGCCATGCTAGTCAACAAAGGAATCAAGTTACCATCGATAAACTGCAAACATTACATAATTTCCCCTATAAACCAAATTACACATTAGTTTCCTTAAACACACACACACACACACACACACACTGGCTAACATTTCCCCATTGGAAACATTTTGGGATTTGTTCCTAAAAGTCTAAGGTGGCTCCAGGCCACCTCATGCTGTGGTTGAAAAGTGACGCTCTAAGTGTGTAATTGGAAGACGGGAAGATATGACATGCATTTCTGAGAGATAGGCTGACAGCTGCCTTCAAATCCTGTGCTTCAACAGGAAAGGCAAATTTGTTTTCAGTGTTTGGTCTTGTGCAACTGTGTTATTCCGAGAAATAAATGTAACTGCATCGCTAGAGATAATGACTGGAATGTGTTTGAGAATGACATTTCGTTAATGGAACAGGGGGAAACAGAAGGAGTAAGAACTTTAGAACATTACACCGGGGATTTGTTGTATTCATTACAAATAAAACCAAATTACTACTATATGTAATATGTGTACATCAAATAAAGCTAGAGCGTTTAGCAAAAGTGTTGAGCAACTGATTTTGTTTGACTCACCAAGTTCTTTATAAAAAAATCAATAAGATGTATTTAAGTTAAAACAAATGAAACATACCTCCTTACAAAATTGAGACCTTACAAAAAGAAGGGTGACAAGGATGTAGGTAAATAAGCCAGCTGTTCGCATCCACATGTTAGTCCTCAGCTCGAGAGGTGACATAGGAACCTATGTACAACTCTTAAAGAGATCATGAATATAAAACTAGACTAATTTACTAAAGATTCAAGTAGAAAAACTAATAGGAAACACATAAAGAAGCCTTGATAGCTGTAGCCCAGGCAATGGGAACTAAGAAAATTTGAATATCAAAATACTTTGAAATTTCCAAGTTAAAAAAGAGTATAAAACTTTCCTTTAACTGGTCATGAATGTCCACTGCAGCGTTTAAAACTGTGTTTATCACAGCCTGTGAAATGGGACCGTCTGTGCGAACGGGAACGTTCTACGTCTGTGTCATACATCAACTACGTGTCTACGAAACACTTGAGATGTTCTTTCGGAGCCGAGAAACTGAATTTCTACCTTCTGGAGTCAGATTAATTTATATTTAAATTTCAGTACCCACATGTGACCAATGGCTGTTAACATGTCCACAGATTCTTACGTCACTAACCCCAGTTCTTTATTCTTTTAAATGTACAAGTAGGCAGGCTTCCCTACTCATAAAATTCATTTTAACATAAACACTTTGGACCTGTAAAGCAAACTCTAAAATGCTGTTTACACATTTCAATCAATAAGAGATCAGAGTTTTTTAGTTGTAAGTTGGCAGAAATTTTAAAGGGGCATTACCGAGTTCACAAGGTTCTTCGGTAAACAAACGCCTTCTGTATTTTAGCAGAGCGCCTACAGCTGGAAATGGGGCCTTTGGGACGAGTTGGCAGGAAACCAGGGCAATGTTGCTAGTTAGGAGGATTGGTAGACCATCAGCTCTTTAGAAACAACAAAAAATGGCTCCTTACAATGACGAATGCGGCTTGTGGTAGCCTTAAACGAAATGTTTGAAAAAAGAAATGTACAATGTATCCTCTGTGTTTACTATTCTTAAACAAGGTGTCGGTTATTTGAAAAGTTTCTTGCTAATGTGAATGCCGGGAATGGGATGTCTTTGGACACGTTGGGAAGGGGTTCAGGCCCAAGACTAGAACCTCTTCTGGAAGGAACATTCTGGATTAGCTGCTTGGCTTCTTCCACCTGGGGCTGATGGGAAATAACACGGAATGAGATCCTTCCTCTTCAGAGCTGTCTTAGTCAGGGTTTCTATTGCTGTGCTGATATACCACAGCCAAAAGCAACTTCAGGAAGAAAGGGTTTCTTTCATCTTACAGTTTGTAGCCAGTCCTTCATCCTGGAGAGTCAAGGTAGGGACTCAAGGCAGGGACCTGGAGGCAGGAACTGATGTATCGGCCATGGAAGAGTGCTGCTGACTGGCTTGCTCCTCATGACTTGCTCAACCTGCTTTCTTATAGAACCTAGGACCACCAGTCCAGGACACCGACCACAATGGAATGGACCGTGCATCCCACAATCACTAATTAAGAAAATGCCCTACAGACTGGCCAATGTTATGGAGGCATTTTCTCAATTAGTAGTTCCTCTTCCCAGCTTTAAGTCTAGATTTAAGTCAAATGAACAAATAAAACAAAAACAAAACAAACAAACAAAAATAAAAAAACAACCAGCACAAGAACTCCTAAAAATATACCACATCAGCTGGGCCTGGGGGTTGCTGTCCTCTAAGCCTCAGTACTTGGGAGGTTAGCTGATGTAGCAGAATCACAAACACAAAGTTTGCCTGGGTAATTAGTAATACTCGGAATCAAAAGAAAAGTCTTTTATTATTATTTTTTTTACAGCTGGGACGTGACTCAGCAGCATATTATGGATAAGGTCTTGGGTTCAAACCCCAGTACTGAAAAAAAAACTTACATCTTGTCTTACTGTCTTACAAACTAGAAAAGTATTTGATATAATTTATTGCACGTGTTTCCAAAGCTGACTTTTTAAATTTCATGACGTACACTGTCCAGACTCTTAAGCTTATCTACACACACACACACACACACACACACACACACACACCAAACACAAACGCCAAAGATACACGGCAACAACTCTGTAGAATGTGACTATTTTAATCCTCAAGATTAAAGTAGCCCTAAATAGTTTGCTCACACCACTACCCTGGGGTGCCGTCCAGAAAGATTCTCCTACGTGCCAGTGAGAAAAAGAGCAAAGCCACTTGTAACATTTCTGTGCCCACCTAGCACCCATCTAGAGTCTCCCTCAGCAAAACAGAATCACGGTGTGTCCCAAGGGGCACACACGGCTTTTAAATTCCTCTAAATAGAACAGGGAAGCTGCTGAAGGTTCCTTTCCCTACTTGTTGAGTTCAAGGGACTCCCTTCATGAAAAACATCAGGTCTACTACAGAAGAGGATCTCCAAAACAGTCTCAGACTGCTGTGTTGTTACTCTCCAAGGCACCAGTGTGCTATCCTGTGACTCCGTGTCTCTCACAGAGCTTACAGGACCTCCCTCCCTGACTGATATCACCCTGCATCATCACTAAAGCAGGGGAGAGGTTTGCAAGCAGAGACTCTGAGACACGCTGGCATTCTGAAAGCAAGCAGGTCTAATGCTAAGGTCTCGGTCTTCAGATTTTCGATATTGAGTGAACGCATACCCGACCTGAAGCTGATTAAGGCCACAACTATTTCGTGGCTAGCCTTTTCACCCTGTGCACCGCGAGAATGCAGCACAGGGCAACCATCAGGTGCTGAAGGGCCCTTTGCCAAAGGTTTTCAGTTATCTGGCATGGTTTGCCGTTGGTTCATGAATGAATGGTTACTATGATAGCGTTTATATTTAAAGTTACAGGAAACACATTCCTAAGCCGTGTATCAAGAAAACAGAGTAAAGGTGAAATGTTATTCTTCCCTGCTTGAATAACTATTAGAGAAAACGACTTATGAGACCCTTACCTGCTGATGACTTCCAGGGATGACTGTGGTGATTTATCTGGAGAAAGTGCCAGCCATGGTATACCAATTGATCATATATTAAATCTGGAAGAGCAAAATATTAAAGGGACTCACAAATGTGGTCAGATTTTAATTTTTTTCTATTAAATACTTGCTAATACTGCATATTAAGACTGTTTGAGGAGAGAAAGAAGCCACATGTTTCGCACTGCGAACACATTTTCCCTAATATGGAGCTAGGCTGCTCCCTCCTAACGATGTTTAACAACCCTTCCCGGTGTCTTGCAGCAAAGGGGACCAGACTTGGTGAAACTGACCCTAAAGATGCGAACTATGACAGTGGATTGGGCTTTTACTTAAGGAACCGCAGTTAAACTTTGCTACACAGTCTCTTTCTTATGAGGTTTACGCAAGTATTATTAAACTATATTTTGAGAATTCTATTACAAAAGATTTTTTTTCTGTTTGTCTTTCTTATATAAGACCTGCACGTCATATAAAGGTTGCTACATAATAATGTAAACGTCTGACTCTAATTTTGTAAGTTTGCCTCCCAGAGATACTCTCCTTCCTTACCCCTCTAGAACTCCAAGTATATATACATGTACATGTGTGTACATTCATGGTCTCTTAACTAAGGTTTTACTTCTCTGTTCGTTGCTGACATTAATCTGTTGGTTTTATTTAGCCTTATAACTACACAGAACGTTCTTTGTCGGCCACAGAAAGCAGATTCATTCATTGATAATTTGCTTAGCCGGCCTGTTCTTAAGGCCTTAAATCTCTTTTTTTTTTCCCCAGCTTTCCAGTTGGCTGTTACAAAACGTTTCAATGCTCATATTCATACATAGACATTTTATACTTACTGAACATTTTCGATAGCACAGGTCCAAAACAGAATTATTGAACTAAACTGTTCTTTAACATTTTGATGGATAGTGATAAAATTCTATTCATAAAGTTTGTGATAAAAATCTGATGCCCAAAATCTAGATTTTTTTTTCAAAAATCTTCTTTATGTGTCGTTTGACTTGGCATTTCAGTGCCTGTGGATGAAACTGAGTGTCTCATCTTCTGATGTTCTTCAGGAGTTTTTCTGCTCCTGTTTTACATGGCCATTACCTTTGCTTCCTTTTTCAATTAGGCCTTGCATAGTTTCTCATATGAAAAGGTGAATGTTAGTTAGAGAAGCTAATATTTTACATGTCATGTGTGGCAAGCAGCTTCCAAAGGTTTGCAGACTTATCTCTCGAATTTGTATATCATGCTGCTTATTATCTAGCCATTTGTTTGTTTAATTATTTGTTTATTTTTAGGTAGCTAAATTCATCAATAGTTTCTATTGTGGATTTGGGAGAGTCTATGAAGGTTGTTTTAACCTGTTCAGTTACTTAAAGGGACTGTGAACAGGTGACACAGAAAGCCTGTACACTAACAGAAGTATAGTATCAAAACAGAAATATAGTATCCTAACAGAAATAGAGTATCAGAACAGAAATATAGTATCAAAACAGAAATAGAGTATCAGAACAGAAGGATTTGGGGCATTATTACCATTGTAAATAGAGTATCAGAACAGAAGGATTTGGGGCATTATTACCATTGTCAAAGACATTTTCATAAGAAGATTCTCCACTTAAAATACTAATATGATATAAAAGTCATGAGTTTTCGGTAAGACTACATTTTTGGAAAAAAATAAGGAAATCATCAATTTTACAGTGCCCCTCTTCAGAGTGTTAGCTGTGGCCGGCTGAGACAAGTTTCTAACCCACCAGAGTGGGTTAGAGGGAGAGTACCAGAAGGTCCAAGGCGAACACGAAGTGGAAATGTTAGAGACTCACTAAGGAAATTTAGAAAACATACAAAAAATGATAGGAAGAATGAACCTTGAATGACGAGCCCTTTAGGGCTTCTCAGATCTGTTGTATATTTTTATTGATCTTTCTGTTGTGGTGATTTTGCTATACAAATTTTATGACATTAATAAAAGTAAAAAAAAATATTTTACTCACAAATCAGTGATTAAAAAAAAACTAAATTACTTTCATTAGACCATCAAGAACCTAATTCCGGCCTTAATAGTATTTTGATAAGAATCAACAAAGCCGTAATGCGCACAGAATGGTACTTGTGATTTATGTTTTATATGTTGCTAATGAATTACATTGCCATTACGTGTTATTAAAATATAAGATACATACATGATGACTCTATACTTCTCAATTATATTGTGACTGCCTGGTCCAAACCTCTTCTCTCAGCGGGTCAAACTTCAAGAAGTATTTAAGAACTATCAACATGTAGAAAACACTCCAGTCCTCTCCTATTACGGCTAAAGTAACAACAATGAACCATGGGCAGCGAATGGCTGGGAAACATCACGGTGCAGTGTGTTTTATTCATGGCACAATGTGTTTTATCTGAAGTGACATCCTCTGAATGGAAAGACAGTCATGAAACCCGGCTTAATGGAGCATTCTTATTCAAGAAGAATTACACATATTTAGAATCATGAAGAAATGTAATCGAATTAAATACCAAGAAAAATGTGGGTCAAAGAGTAGAGGGAATTCTGCTGATAAAATTGTAAGCGTATGGCATTTGTTGGAGGAAGAGCTACAGATTGTTTTTAATCCGTTTGGAAGAAGAAGGAAACCTAATAGAAGTTGTCTGCGCTTACAGGCGGGGCCTGGCAAAGCCGGTGAGGATGGCCATTGATACTGCCTCGCTTGTGAGCACTGAGGAAGTCTGCCTGCTGCATGAACATCTCCTATGCGCTGCACTAGCTCTCCCACGCTCGCTGCATGGCATGCTGGTGTCTCGGAGTTGAGCCGTGCCCCCAGTCTTTCCCATAAATGTTAAATTCTGTACTGGTAAATCTGCCTGGATGCTAACATCCTAGTTCCAAGCAGCGGGTAAAATTCATTCACTGAGAAAACCGTGCCAACTGTCCTGGTGGCAGGCCATGATTCTTAGACACATCCCAGGGAACCTAGGCTTGGCTCGGTCTTTTAGCCAACTTCAATGATCTTCTGGCAAAACAAGAAGCATTTGGCTGGGTCTATCTAACAACTGTCAGAAGTCTGCTTACCTAGGGAGGAACCCTACAGGAACTAAGGCATTTGGAGAGTCACTGACTTCAAAGAATTTGCCACTTACGTGGAGCCTGACCACTTTACAGCTAGACTCTACTACAGAGTTTTTAAACCATAGGGTAGGTAAATAAGAGCCTAAACTAAAAGGTAATATGTGATCTAAGCTGGCATGAACCACCATGCTCAGCTCACACGATCCTGGGGAAGAAACCCAAGTTACACTCCCAGTTCCCCGAAAGTTTATTTTAAAAAGCCCTACTACCCTTTTTATTTTACACCTTTTAATATCTTTGTATATTTTCCAGACTGTTCTTGAACTCCTGATTCAATGGGACCTCCTGCCTCAGTTTCCCCAGCAGTTCTGACTCCAGATTGTACTGTATCCAGTTCCATTTTTAGAAAGCTTGAGCGCGGTGTGAGTGTTACCCCGGCTCCTCCTGCCACATGCACATCGGATGACAGACTGCCGCACTTCCAGTTCTCAATCGATAGCAGAAATTTCTAGATTTCTTCTCAGTGCCTCTTAAATCAAATACTAGAAGCAAAACAATTGTTCCTGGTGTTCTTCTGGAGACAAATGGGTCTTGATTTCAAATTACAACTTGAAATAAATTCTTAAGCCATTAGCGTTCATCAAAAAGAAAGTTGCCCAGTGTGCAACAGACAATGTGGCAAAGTACATGGCTTTTAGGATTTAAGTAAATCTAAAATGTTACCACATTTGTGTATTTTTTTGTAATCTATCTCCATTATTTCTTTATTGGAATAATTATTTCATTATTCTGGCAGGTAACATGAAGATACATAGAGACTATGTCATAGTTTTATGAAGGTTAAATGAAGGACATTTACAGAATGAATACTATGCGCCATGTGTTATATGATGAATACATTTTAGCTTTATTAAAAATTTATTTTCTGCTGGAGGGAAGGGGTTTATTTGCGTCGCGCTGGCTGTTCTGGAACTAGTTCTACAGACCAGGCTGACCTGGAACCCAGAAATCCCCTGCCTCTCTTCCTGAATGCTGGGACTAAAGGCGTGTGCTACCACCACCCAGTTTTAAAACATTATCTTCTACAAAGGCCAAGAAAATAACACCCAAGATAATCATTTTAAGGAAGGCACGAATACCAAGGCTTTTCTGTCTTTAATGTGCTTGAACCACACAGAAGTCCTTTGAGAATGCAGATTCTTACTCAAGGAGTGTGAGATTTTACATTTTCATAAATTCTCAGATGATTCTCAAGAAACTGCTCTATGGACTGCAGCATCTGGGGAGACTGGATGGCACCTGGGGTGACTGGACGGCATCTGGGGAGACTGGACAGCACCTGGGGAGACTGGACGGCATCTGGGGAGACTGGATGGCATCTGGGGAGACTGGATGGCACCTGGGGTGACTGGATGGCACCTGGGGTGACCGGACGGCATCTGGGGGACTGGACGGCACCTGGGGTGACTGGACAGCACCTGGGGGACTGGATGGCACCTGGGGTGACTGGACAGCACCTGGAGGACTGGATGGCACCTGGGGTGACTGGACGGCATCTGGGGAGACTGGACAGCACCTGGGGAGACTGGACGGCACCTGCGGAGACTGGATGCTTGTTTCGGGTTTGAAATGTGGTGAGTCTGAACAGGGGACAGAGCTTGACTGGCCTCAACACATTCAAAACCACTGGTTTGAGGCTGCCTTTCATCATCTTTGATTCTGTTTTTTTTTTTTTTATTTTCATCCTTTTCACTCTTTCCTTACCAGTAGTTCTTTAGATTGAAGACGACATTAGTGTCTATTCCCGACGAGACCAATTGTTGGAGAATTGCAGGAACTGAACAGTGCAGCCACGCCAGACACCCATCTCATCTGAACACCAGAACACAGGAGGAGTGGCTTTTAAATGTCTTCTCTTTCTCAACATCCCTGCAGCTAACTCTGCAGGGCAAAGACCGTTTTCACGCTTTGACGTGTCCTCAAAGGCTGAATGTCACCCTGCTCCATACAGATGCCTTTGCAAGAGCCTACTACTGCTGATTCAGATTTCACAGACAATCCTTCATTTTCCAAAGCAGTGTATGATCTCTGGTTCATATAAAATGAGCGGATATCTAAGCCACTCAGAGAGTGAATTAGCTAGCAGAGTGTCTCTTTATCGGCAAGTACGAAGCAACATGCTTGTGTTTCCAATATTCTTCCTCTGAAGTTAAGACAAAGAGTTAAAGTCATTGGCCTGAGCCGAGACTTTTATCACTCAGTGAAGATCAAGGTGTCTTCTGTGTAAACAAAGTGAGTAAGAAACCAGTTGCTCCAAACCTAAGGATCGTTAGTCATATGACTTAAAATTCATAACTCATCCAGAAGGCTGCCACTAGAAGAAGCGTGGACTCCCTGTTCACCTGTTTCCCAAACTTTTCAATGCCGTAAATGTAATTAAACGTGAAACTCTTGAAAAGACTCTTGGGTATGGGAGTTGTAACCATAGCTAGCAGATTCTAGATTCTAGTCTCCACTTAAGACCTTTAGAGGAAGCACAAAAACAAAACCTAAAGCCAGTGCTTCTAAACAGACCTGTAAGAGTGAAGTAGAACAAAGCAACCACACAACATTCAAACCATGCAACAAACTCTTTTCTATTAAAGAAATTTGAATCATAATTTTAGTTTTCATATGCAAAGGAACTTTTCTGAATATCTGCTATGAAAAGAATTAAAGATCTGCAAATATTTCCTGGTAATACAGCTGTACAAAACAGCAATACCAAGTTGTCATTTCTATGAATATCCTAAATATATATTTTGCTTTGTATTCCCATCTGGTGTTAAAGTAATAACTCTCGCGAAACTTCTGGCAAATTTATACCCCTTTACATTTCTTTCCTGAGAGGCAAACACTATATTTTAGAGCATTTAATAGGCTAATAGCGGTCGCTCGCCAAATCATTTGTGCATTACCTTCTGCCACTGAGTAAAACTGGTTAAAAGTAACTGTAGCCATAAAATCATTTAAAAAGCGGATTGCTAGAACCTACTATTCAGGGAAAGGAAGGACCAGGCACAGTAATCAACAAAAGGCTAAGGGACAGGAGTCTGTTCTGGGCAGTAAAAGCATACAAATGGAACAGGAACTCCATCTCTGTCCCTATAACAGATTTGAAAGCAAAATACTGCAGCTCTCAGCTATCTGCCTGGGAAGAGCATCACGAGAGAGGCTGCGGCCATCGTTCAAACTGTGCTTCAAAGTCCTTCGCAGCTAAGTACTTCACTGGGGTTTGGAGTGAGTATAAGATTAAGCTTTTGGTTCCTTGGAATAAGCAAAATTCGTTGCCACTGTTAATTAGTAACACAATATCCACAGTCATAAGTTGCAGCAGCCAAAGGCAGCAAAAATAAGCTCTAAGGTATCAGGGAACATTCTTCCTCCAAACTAGACCGGAGAGGAAGCTGAATGGTTCATAGGTGTGTCCTCACAATGACCCAAGTTAAGACAGAAGGCACACTGGTGCTCAGTACGCCTGCCTCAGACACTGTGATGGTCGGACATTTTGTAAGCGTCAGAATGACAGGTCTTCCCCTGGGAGGAAACCCACTCTCCTGAGGTGGTGGGCACTGAGGTCGGCTCGACTAACACCAAGGAAGAGCAGAACTAGAAGCCAAGGCCTTATCAAGGGGAAAATAAACCAACATCAACAACAAAAACATGAACAAACAAAAACCAAGAAATCCAGGAAGAGGAGGAATCTGAAAATGTAGTAAATATTAAGACCTTGCAACTTGAGGCCACTCCCTAAACCTCAGCAATATCTATTATACATTACAGGAATTGCCACCTATGATTTGGGGATGGACCTATGGAGCTATTAGGATACTTAATGTCTGTTCTGAGGAGACTAAAGGAAAGACAGACAGTTTTGAAGACTCTGTTACCCGGGCTAACAGGGTAAACATTTTAGACTTTGGTCAGCAATCACCAAGAAGCAGAAAGAATCAAGGGTTTTAGTAACTGGAGGAGACCTTCTGGGCAGTGACCTGAGACTCAGACTTGTTAAACAAATAAAAACACTCTTAATACCATGCAGCTAATTTGGTGGGAGGACAAGGAGGGCATTAGCAAGAAAATTATTCTAGGTCACACCAGTAAAGTGATTGTCCAAGTAGGGCCGTTAGAAGGCAAACAAAATAGGTAGTGTTTGCTTGTGGTTGAACCAAGAAAATGAAACGCTAAAATAAGCCTCTTGGGTTCCTTTTGGTTGTTTTTTTTTTTTTTTAATAGAATATTTTAAGGAGTGTTAATGCTTTTGCTAAGGGCAATAAATACGGGGGGCCCGGAACCCTACTGTAGTAACTATCACAAAAGAAAAAAAATCACTTTGGGAGTGAAGTACCCTGAAGAAGACAATTACTGACTGAAGAGAACAGAAGGGGGTAAGGATGCTTGACGCAGCCTCTTTTCCTGGAATGACACAGGAAATTAGAGCAGTCTACTTCCAAACGTGACCTCAGGGCACACAGTGCCTAAACTTTCCTGCGAAAAAAGTCTCCTGGGAATCGGTAGTGGGTTTTTATGCTTAGTGTGGACATTAGAAAACACGGGGACACAGGTAGCCAATTACTCTATACTTAACCAAAGAGAAGGAGGGGACAGACAGGACGGCTTGAGTTTTCTGGAGACCGCCACAGATTGGGGTTGCAGAGGCCCTGGGCTAAAGGAACTGGGAACGGGGTAGAGGAGTGGAGGGCCATGCTCTATGTTCGGTACTGAACCACTGGAATCCTGCAGTCACTACAGGCCAAGTGGGCCTGCTAAGGTTCAGCAACCTGCTTCTCCCCGCCCTAGAGTGAGAAATCAAAGAGCCGCTGGGAACACCAGCGGTGATGGAGTTTGGCCCACCTACCGGCTGTGTCTGACGACAGTGACCCGCTGATAGGGGGTCACTGGCAAACAAAGTGGGGGGACTCTCTTAAACTCAAAGTAGCGCAACGTCTAATGGCTGGCTTCGCAGTCACACAGGCCACAGTTAAAACACAACAGTTATTTAAAAGCACGGAGGAAAGTTGCTTTGCTTGCCTCCCATTTCTGTGGCTGTTCAGCCTGTACTCGAAAGAGTTTGGTCAAAACATTACGACTCTTTGGAGCACGCTGCAAGTGAGCGCAGTTTCCTCCCACCTGATCTGGAAAAGGGCGGCTAGCTCCAGTCTGCCCGCTGGCCGGGAAAGTGCTTGCTCTCCAGGATCCTCCGAGTCCTCCTCGCCCAGTACTCCTGGTTCAAACGCGGTGACAAGGAACCGGCCCCTCCCGCCCCTGATCACGACGCCGGCGGGACGCCTCGGCTAGGACTCACCGCACCCGGGAGAGCGCCAGAGCTGGAGAAGCCGCTGAGCTGGTACTGGCCTCGGTCACCCGAGCCACCCGTGGAGCAGGACTCACGCCGCCGTGTGTCCTCTCCCCTCTCCGGACACACAGCATCACCCAGTCCCTCGCAGCTGCCTGGCGATCAGCAGCGAAGCACCTCAATATTTATAGCCTAGGGGGCGTTGCTGCTCCACAGGTTCCAACCCCTAGGCTCTGTTTTGCACTCCTCCCTCGCCCCGCCCCGCCCCAGACCCTCCGTCCAACCCTCTCCCTCTAGGGATTCTGATGGCTTCTTCTAAGCTAGGAGTCACTCCCTGGCTGTCACTTCCCAGATCCACGCTCAGCTGGTCCTGTGTTGAAGATAGAGGGAGGCTGGGGTAAGGCCACATGGACTGACTACTAGATAAATGCTCCATTTAGAAGACGGTGAGAGGGGGAAGCTTGAGAAACTTTTAAGGATGAATTAGGGAACTCCCTTGTCCTTGCTGCGGCTAACTAAAAATTTGGCGCCCTTGTCATAGATCACAGATGGTATGAATTAACTTCAGAGTTGTAAAATGAAAACCGATTAGCAGTTCCTCCCAGTTTACACGTGGCTCGCCCTGCACTTATTTGAAAATAAAAACATTTTCAAAAAAAAAAAAAGACTGCCAAAAATAAAGGGAATAGCACAAAATATTTGAGAACAAAAATGAACTCAATTTTTTTTTCAAAAAAGAAAATACTTTCCCCAGTGCATCGTGAGGCCAGAATGACTCCGATACCAAACCTAGGCAATGCATTACAAGAAGACTTCAGACTAACGACGTCTGTGAATGGAAATGCAATTCCTCAATGAAGTGTTCGCAGTTCAAATCCAGTGAAAAGAAAAGATATTGAGATCAGAATGTGCTCTGCTTTGAGTTACTCCACACTGCAAAGCAATGGCTCTTCAGACTGCAGCAGGTTCTGTTTTACACTGCTCTGACTCCATTTTGAGAAAAAAAAAATTCAGAAGAGTTCACACCTAGATGGGCAAGTAAACACCATCTGTCTGGCACCAACCACTAGGCACAGACAGATTAACAACTTATTCCTCAAAGCAAAATGGGGCCCACTATTTAAAAAAAAAAAAGCCATCAAAGTAAATGGGAGCTACAACCACACGCTGATGTTAAGATCAAACCAGGGGAAACAGGCGTGATAACACACTGGACTCACAAGGCTGGGGACGGGTGCAGCTCCCTCCCCGGAACCGCAGGAAGAGGAGACCTGGTGCTTCAGTGGACAGAAGACCTTATCTTACCACCCTGTGTGCAGCAGAGAACTCCCAGCAGTCCTGCGGCTTTGGATGGGCTGTCCCTGCTGCTGTGGCTGTTCTACTCGAAGTGCCATTGGTACCTTTGTCCACTTGTCTGTCTCAACCGGCCATGTAACTGTCTTCTGGGCTGAGTCTTGCACGTGGCCTCTCCAGCCTCTGCCTTTGACTAAGTGCAAACTTTGACTTGGTAGGAGCAGACCTCCAGCAGGGGTTTATCTTATTGACATAGAGACTCTTTAGGATCCCGTTAGCTGCCCTGTCTGCCTCTCAGGCATCTTTACAATTCCTTGAGCTCCCCTTCAGCTTCTTCAATCCTATGTGGTCAATCTATAAACTACATATATGCATACATATTGTGTGTAGTGTAATGCACAATCTGAAAGTTAATATTCATAGGTAAGATTAGAATAAAAGAATCTGTGCTCCTGTATTTGCCTTGTCAGGTTATCAACAGACTATTGGGAACATTGATACTTACGAAGTCAATATACCTTGTGAATCTATTGTTAGTTCTATAAATTCCAACATTGTGAAAATACAGAGTTGAATCTTTGTAAACATAAAAACTCAGTTTAAAGAAATGTAGGTGGTCCTTTTAGTGTGAAACCTGAAACAGTAGAACTGCTGAAGAAAACACAAGCAGTGTTCTACAAGACACATGTAGGTCATAACGTTCTCTATAGGATTCCATTTGCTCAGAAATTAAAGCCAGCAATTGACAAATGAGACTTCATAAAACTGAAAATCTTCTACAGAACAAAAGAAACAGAAACAGTCGGCTGAGTGAAGTGGAAGCCCACAGAGCAGAAGAGAGATTTTTTGCCAGCTGTGCATCTGAGAGAGGCTTAATATCCAGAATATAGAAAGAACTCAAAAAATAAAGTCATGAAAACATAAGGTCCAATTTTAAAATGCCCTCTGAATCTGAACAGAAAATTTTCTAAAGAAGCAATAAAAATGGTTAAGAAATATATCATAAAATGTTAGCAATCAGAGAAGTGAAAATTAAACTCCTCTGAGAGTCCATTTCCCCAGTTAGGTTGGTGAAGAGCAAGCAAACAGCGACAAGGACCGTGGAGGATGCAGGGAGAGGGGACCCTTGTTCACTCTTGGTCAGACTGTAAACTGGTGCAGCGAATATGGATATCAGTGTGGAAAATTCTCAAAAAGCTAAAGGTCAGTCTGCCATGTGACCCGGCTACAACACTCTTAGTCATAAGCCCAAAGGACTTGACATCTTACCCCATGACACTTGCTCGTCCGTGTTCACAGCCACTCCGTTCACAATGGCTAGGAGACAGAAACAACCCAAATGCCCTTCAGCTAATGGACAATGATGAAAATGTGGTTCATGCACACCATGGAATACCATTCAGCTCTAAAAGAAATAAAGTCATGACATTTATAGGTAAATGGATGGAACTAGAAAACATTACACTGAGTGAGGTAACCCAGATGTAACCTGAAGTAGACTAGGAAGCCAGGGAAACAGAAAGAAACCACGTGAGGAGGGGAGGAGAAGCTCTAGAAAGGGGGTAACAGGAGACTTGGACTACAAAGAGGGTGATAGAAAAGGGGGAGACCTATACTAGAGAGTAAGGATGAAGGGGAATATGCAGGAAGGGGAAGGAGAAAGAGCTAACAGTAAGAATGGTTGAAAAGATCATAGGGCAACATATTATTCAATAAGCTTACATTTTTAGAATGTACACACACACGGTCTGAGTGATGCCACACAGTGTGACAATGACGTTCATGAGAGCCATGCACTACCTTGCCATCATTGCAATATTAAGCATGGGAAAGCTTTTGAGTTGTTGGTCGGGAGATAACAAGAGTTTTCTAAAATAACATGGGCTATTGTTGGTGCTCTGGGGTCGCCTCCCAGAACTTGCGGGTAAGACCTTCTTTCTGAATACACCACACACTTTGTTTTTGTTTTTGTTTTTAATATTTATTTATTATGTATACAATATTCTGTCTGCATGTATGCCTGTAGTCCTGAAGAGGGCACCAGACCTCATTACAGATGTCTGTGAGCCACCATGTGGTTGCTGGGAATTGAACTCAGGACCTTGGAAGAGCAGGCAATGCTCTTAACCACTGAGCTATCTCTCCAGCCCTACACCACACACTTTGGACACAGGAGTTGGAGGAATCACGCTGGAATTGACCTGCACGCTCAGAGACTTGCTCTGGGCATCAGAAGGTGATAGGTAAGTTGCCAAGGAAGAGGAGCTAGGGATGGTCCTACCTGGCTATAAAGCCTGTGAACCAAAATGGCCAGCTCGATAGCCCCAACGGAGCCACAGTGGCACTGTCTGATTCAAGTGAAGGCCCATGCAATAGGAATTTGTGTGTGGGCCTGGAGCTCCTTTCCCTCACCTGGGCTTCCCATCTATGGAGGAAGACTGTTGAGATAGGAGCAGCAGGGCTGTGTCCCCTGCACCCGGCCACCCACATGGCTAGCTTATGCCCGAAATAATTACACGGAAACTGTATTCTATTAAACACTGCCTGGCCCGGCTAGTTCCAGCATCTTATTGGCTAGCTCTTAAATATTGTTCTAACCCATTTCTAATATTCTGTGTAGCCCACGAGCTGGCTTACCAGGGAGGATCTTAACCTGCGTCTGTCTGGAGTGGGAGAATCATGGCGACTCCCTGACTAAGCTTCTTTCTCCCGGAATTCTGTTCTGTGTACTCCACCCACCTAAGGGTTGGCCTATCAAGGGGCCTAGGCAGTTTCTTTATTAGTAAGAAATCACTCCCACATCAGAAGATGTCAACCAACTCTGAATGTTCGATTGTCATATTTAAAGTCTCTTTACATCTGTGCCTCCCTATAAGATGTAAGTGCTCACATGGCTTTCATTTAACTTCTTATAACATACCAAGAACTTATTTTATAAAGAGATGTTGGTGTTTCCAAAGGGGTGGGTCTTACTACAGCCAAAATTTTGGTTAATTTTGAAAGGTTATTAGTGTCGTCTAAGAGCTCTAATTGTATGAAGAGATTTGAATTGTATCATTAAAATAACTTCTCCAGTCACCATATAACTCACCAGAAATGCTCCCAATATAAATATAGTTTCACAAAACTTCTTCCACTGTGCAGAGCACCCAGCGAGTGAATATTTTATTCAATAAGAAAACATAAGCTTAGTGATTAGAGAGATAGGTTAAAGGCCTCATTTAGCAAAAGAATGTAATAAAATTTTTGTCCTTCTAAGCCAAGTTTTGGTAAACATCGCTAAGAATAGATCAATATAGAGGAAAGCCTGATTTTTGTGAATGAAGAATTGAGCTTCAGTTTTACCTCCGGGTATTGAATTTCGACTTTAACAGTTTTAATGACTTTTGTATTACAACTAACTTAGTTATAGCCATGTCCACTTTCTGTACATTCGGCACTCTCAGCCTTCAGTTTTGTCCTTTCCCATCTTTCCATCCTCAAATGCTTTTCTACTTCAGGACAAAGCTCTCTGTACAAAAACCATCCCTATGTAAAAGAATTTCCTTACTCTTTAACACTATCAAAAAATTCTTTACATCTATAAACCTCACATCTTTCTTATTAGCATGATTCCTGCTAATTCCTGAATTATTATTGCTATTATTATTATGAAGTTTATAAAGGTTTTGATAAAAATTATAAGATAGAATTTCTTTCTTCGTAAGCTAATTATATGTAAATAAAAGTCAGGACGCTGTATCTAAACACAGACAAAGCCATGAATCAGAAGCCCTGGGCCTCTGCTGTGGGAGATTTGAGTCCTGTCTAACACGCATGTAGAAAGCACCTCTATTCAAAGGTTTTTATCTCTTATTTGGGCTCATAAGGCACCCAAAGAAGGAT